TTCAGAAAACTTGACTTCGTTTGATTGTACAAATATGTGGTTTCAAACTTCGAATAGGAAATCTTGTGTTCAATTGTGCACATATAATTACATACGAGGAATTTTACGGTGCTTGCAAAAAAGAAGAGCCACTCATCTGGATAGATCTAATGGTCAAAAAATAAGAAGAATCAATATATATAAAAGAACTTAAGTTGTGGGCCAGAACCAAAAATATGTGAGCCAGAACTGGTTTATAATTAAAATTTGAAGGGTATAAAAGTATTTTTACGTCTTCTCCCGTGAGCGTGCCATCCCTGTCCTCTCCAGCGACTCCCTCCCTCTGCGCGGCGACCCCTTGTCCTCGCCATATGGGCAGGCTCTGGCGCGGGTGCTCCACAGCTTGTCCGGTCTCCGGTGGCCTTGCCCGTACCTCCCTCTCCTAGTGCGTTAGGCGCAGCGACCCCCTAGCGGGCGCACTCGCCGTGCACACAGACATCCCTGCCGGCGAGTCCCCCTGCTGTCGGACTCTGCTCTCCATGTGCGGCGTTCTATTTTGTCAAACGAAGACTCGGAGAGATCGGGAGGTAGACGATGATGGAGGATGAGGCTTGCGAAACATTAGTTAGACACTTAGACCTGAGCGTATCTTTGTTGAGAGTAATTTTGTAACTTACAAAATTACCCTTAATTACAAATTGTAAGACCATATCTTCTGACATGTTCATTAAACATTAGTTGTAGAATTAGCACGCGCTCTGGACCTGGGAATTGGCTTCCTAATCTTTGAGATAGATGCCCAGCTACTCGGCCAAGGCAAATGCAATGGAGAGACACTGACGCCTCGCTGGAATCAGTGCCAATGCACTGAAGTGCCAAATACATGCATCCAGCAAGTCCCCTTGGCTTGAAGTTCAGGCGCTGTTGGAGACGAAGTACATGCATCCAGCAAGTCCCCTTGCCAAATACATGCGTCCAGCATGGCCGTTGGCCGAGGCGGAGCAAGATGCAAACAGGGCCGCGACAAGGCCGAGCATGCCGGAGGCGGAGTACATGACAGGTTGCAGCATACCGTTCGGATGAAGTCATGCGGATCCAAACATGCAGGCGCCGGCACCGGTGATCCCCCTGCAGGCTTCAGGCGGCGGCGAGCCCTTCCCCATATCCGTGCGGCGTTCCGTTGGTCCGGCTTTGAGTTCGTCGGAGAGAGAGAAAGAAAGAAGATGTCGGACAAACTTGAGCACACTGGAATGACTAAATTACCCTTAATTACTTTTAATTAACGAAAACAAACCTCATTACATAATGGTAAAATACTTGGAGAAGAACATCTGAAGTGGAGAGACCCCATCCACTGGTGTCACCCACCGTGCATGTCGAAGGCGCCATGCTCATAAATTGAATGTGGCTTCCATAAATTTACACTAGAAATTGATGGATGACGGGCAACATTTTTCCAGCCGTTATGAAGCTATAGCGCCCTATAACAGAGTGTTTTTTCAAAAAGAAAACATGAAAAATACTAGTAATTGATGCAAAAAAAAAACATGACAAATTCAAAATTCAATGAAGACAAATATGTTTCTAAGATTCCACAAGTCTGGGTAACATTACTAATATGACATTACAATATGGTTCATAAAACTTCAGTGCTTAATTGTCCAAAATAGTAAATTAGTAGCAAATGATAATTGTACAACATGGCTTAGCAGGCTTTCATATGGTCCGTTGACAAAATCTGAAATAGCACCGCTATTTGAAAGCTAAAGCTATGCAATTTAGTGGCGCTATAGCTCTAAATAGCGGCCAAAGTTGCCATAGCGGAACAAATAGAAATAGCATAGCGTGGAGTCTCTCGGTCTCTCCAACCGCTATAGCGCACTGTAGCACTGTTATAGCCAGCTATTTAAAACCCGGCTCCGACGACGGGAGATTCGGTTCTGGTCCGGCCTCGCCGTTGACGAGGGGTCGAAGTTCCGACACCCGCCGATGAGCTCGAGAAGCGTCATGCCGTAGCTGAACATATCGGACTTGTCCGATGCCGCATTGACGGGCATCTCCGGCGCCATGTAGCCGAAGGTGCCCTCCCACGGGTGTTGATGACGCTGGTCAGGTCGCGGGTGAATCTACAGGGAGGTGCCGAAGTCGGAGACATGCGCGCGGTGGTCACCGTCGAGCAGGATGTTGCCCGGCTTGATGTCGAGGTGCAGGATCCGCCGGTGGCAGTCTTTGTGGAGGTACACGAGCGCCCGGGCCACGTCGACGGCGATGCAGAACCTCTTTGGCCAAGTCAAGAGGCGCCTTTGCTCATCGCTGCGGTTGAAGATCCACCTGTCCAGCGACCCGTTCTAGCTCGAAGAAGGGGTAGACCAGGTAGAGGCTGCCCCCATGCTGGAGGCAGTAGCCGAGGAGGCGCACAAGGCTGCGGTGGTGCACGTTGGCGATGATGGAGACCTCTTCTGAATTCTTCTTCGCCGGCCTCGATGCGCCCACTGTGCATATGTATGCGCTTGACAGCGACGGCCGTGCCGTCGTCGAGGCTCCCACGAAAGACTTGGGCAGAGGCACCATGACCTATCCTGTTTCCGAAGTCTTGCGTTGTGGATTGGATTTCATCGCTTGTTGAGAACTCCTTCGAGGGGTCTTTTATGTGAAACGAGGTCTTGAGTCGAAGCACCGCTTCTTGTTTCCATGCCGGTTCACGTGGCTCTGTCTCCGTGTGGGCATCAAGAGCATGGAGCCATCGTCGGATCCACGGATAAAGCTTCCAGATGCAATACGAGGATATAGCCACGATGTTGGCCCCGAAAATGAGGTCGGTGCGCATATAGATGTTGGCAAACGAGCAGAATAGGAAGACAAACTGAACAAGGACAAGAAGTCCACCGGAGATAACTTTCTCCTTCCGACCGGAGGAGTTGCAAATGTATAGGAAAGCAACGGCGTTGTAGGCTACTAACTGAATGAGCAGCGATACTTTAATACCGCCGAAATATAGATATCGATAAAGACCATAGGCAGATATAATGACAACCAATAGGATAGCTACAATTGCACCATGTAAGATGGTTCTCGCAAGCTTTTTCAGCCTACAGTAGTGCAAGATAAAGCTACACTTCCAGACGCAAATACGAGGATATGGCTACCATATTGGCCCAGGAAACGAGTTCAATGAGATAAGTGCCGCCATCGCTGTGAATTCCAAAAGAAGAGATGAGGAACACAAACATAACAAGTACAAGATATCCAGCAGAGATAATCTTCTCCCGCCGACCGGAGGAGTTGTAGATGTATAGGCAGCCAAGGGCAAGGTAGGCTATTAACCGAATCACCAGCGATGCAACAGCGTAGCTATTAGTATCGCCACCATTATGACGATAAAGATATATGTAGGCAAACATGATCACAAAGAATAGGGTAGTTACCATGTAATAAGGTGGTTCTCAATGGCTTGCTGCATCCTCGAGAAGGATCGACAGGAGGGCTGCAGGCTTCTACATCCGCCATGTTTATTGTACCTACACTCTGCAGGATGGAACTCAAGAAAAAGCGCTGCGGAGAAGAAAATCCAGGATAGTGCGTGAACTTCGACGAATGGGTTTGAGAAGAAGAAACAAAAAGAGGCGTGAACTACAACGGTACAGGCAGTGGAGCCAGGCTACTGCCTAGCATATCATATCATACGGAGATTCCAAAACGACCAAAACATTGGTGTACTGTGTACTGTGTACGTTAATCTGACCTGTCCATGTACCAGGAACTTCCTAATCATAGATACTTCAGTCAGTTTGACAAAATAGTCATCAATCACTCCAGAACCGATATAGACATGATATAGCTTGAATGTGTGTAATAGCCAAACATCTTTTCATAACCTTCTACCCATCTATTTTAGAAACATTAGCTATTTGCATGGCTGCCAAATGTTTCTATTTGAAGACAGAAGACATAGCATCTCAACATCACAAACCTAATTGTTCTAACAATGCTACAGAATTGCTTGCTTCGTTCATTCCAAGCTAATACAACACTACTCTACAAACTCTAGCAGCAACGCGTCGGAAATTCACCTAGTATATGTAAATATGTAATCTATGGATGGTACGTTACAGCCCGCTACATGTACATGTCCCCCCCGAGCCCCTCGAGCTCCCCACGGGTTACTCGGGCGCCTCTGCACTGCACTGCCACCCCTCCCCGCCACCTCTCCGGCCGCTGTCGCCGCCCTCCAGTGTCTTGGCGGCGGCGGCGGCCAGCGGCGACCCTGAAAACTAGGCCCCGTCGCAGTCTCCTCCCATCCTCCCAAACCATTGATCTCTTAGTCGTGGTTCCTAGGCCGCCTCCTCTTTCCTGCCTCTGGCAAGTTCGAGGACTTCGAGCTGCCAAACGAGTGGATCCGGCCTCCCTGGCCCCTGATCTGTCGTCCCCCTCACCAGTTTCACGCGTTGAGTGGTGGCAGCCCCCCCCTCACCGTGTCCGGCGAGCTCGGATGCCTGGCTGTGCCGATCTGGCATCCCCGGGTCCAAATCGACCGTCTCCACCTCCGGATCCGGGGTTCTTCGTCCTCCCAAACGATCAACACAGCACATAAGACCACAAACGGGAACATAGATGTATGGTCAAGCCCTTCTTTATTTTGTAGATCTAATCTCCAATGTATATAATATATAGGGTCAGACTCCTCCGATATTATTATAACAAACATACCACAAAAAGATTACAACTTTTTATGCTGGCCGGGTTGGCGGGCTGAATTCAAACCACTAATAAACTAATCCTATCAGAATGCACTAAATAAAACAGAAATATGGGATTTATATTGGAAATCTATCGGTGATAATGTAAATCCTCTGAGGCTCCGAGCAAATTCAGAAAACATGACTTCTTCGTTTGATAATTTACATATGCTTTTAAATTTAGAATAGTAAATCCTGTGTTCAATTGTGCACATAATTAACTACATAAAGTGATAAAATACTTCGAGAAGAACATCTGAAGTGGAGAGACCCCATCCACTGGCGTCACCCACCATGCATGTCGATGGCGCCGTGCTGAGAAATCAAATGTGGCTCCGACAAATTTACAGCAGAAGATGATGGACGACGGGCCTCCGCCGGGTGATTAACGGCGACCCGGCCTTGAAGCATATCCACCACATTTTGCATGCTTGGCCTCATGTCCCTCTCGTGCTGGATGCAGCAGAGTGCCACGTTCACCGCCGTCTTCACCGCCTCCTCGTCGACATCTGCCATCGCTGCGTCCACCAACTCCATGTGCTTGCCTTGTGCCATCTTCTCCCGCAAGTTCCGCGCGAGGTTCGGGTCCGGCCTCGCCGTTGACGTGGGGTCGAAGTTCCGACGCCCGCCGATGAGCTCGAGAAGCGTCATGCCGTAGCTGAACACATCGGACTTGTCCGATACCGCATTGACGAGCATCTCCGGCGCCATGTAGCCGAAGGTGCCCCTCCCGCGTGTGTTGATGACGCTGGTGAGGTCCCTGGTGATGGAGAGGGAGATGCCGAAGTCAGAGACGTGCGCGCGGAGGTCGCCGTCGAGCAGGATGTTGCCCGGCTTGATGTCGAGGTGCAGGATCCGCCGGTGGCAGTCTTTGTGGAGGTACGCGAGCGCCCAGGCCACGTCGACGGCGATGCAGAACCTCTTTGGCCAAGTCAAGAGGCGCCTTTGCTCGTCGCTGCGGTTGAAGATCCACCTGTCCAGTGAGCCGTTCTCGAAGAAGGGGTAGACTAGGTAGAGGCCGCCCGAGGTAGTAGCCGAGGAGGCGCACAAGGCTGCGGTGGCGCACATTGGCGATGATGCAGACCTCTCTTCTGAATTCTTCTTCACCGGCCTCAGTGCGCCCACTGTGCATATGTATAATGCGCTTGACGGTAACGGCCGTGCCGTCGACGAGGCTCCCATGAAAGACTTGGGCGGAGGCGCCATGACCTATCCTGTTTCCGAAGTCTTGCGTTATGGATAGGATTTCATCGCTTGTGAATTCCCTCAGGATGTCTTTTATGTAAAATGGGGTCTGTTGGACTTGGAGTCGAAGCACCGCTTCTTGTTGCCGTGGCGGTTCGCGTGGCTTCGTCTCCATGTGGTCATCAAGAGCATCCAGCCATCCTCGGATTTTTTTTGTGCATCAAGAGCACCCAACCATCGTCGGATGACTCCGATCCACGGGTAAAGCTTCCAGATGCAATATGAGGATATAGCCACGATGTTGGCCATGAAAATGAGATCGGTGCGAATTTGGGTCTTTGGCGAAACGAGCAGAGTAAGAAGACAAGCAAAACAAAGACAAGAAGTCCACCAGAGATAACTTTCTCCTTTCGACCGGAGGAGTTGCAAATGTATAGGAAAGCAACGGCGTTGTAGGCTACCAACTGAATGAGTATCCATACTTTAGCAGTGTTGTATTCTGTCATGTAGTCGAAATAATCTCGAAAAGCGTATTGAGGCGGCTCACACTCACGACGATAAAGAACATAGGCAGATATAATCACAACCAATAGGATAGTTACAATTGCACCATGTAAGATGGTTCTCACAAGCTTTTTCAACGTACAAGTGCAGGATGAAGCGAAACTTCCAGACGCAATACGAGGATATAACTACCATATTGGCCCAGGAAATGGGTTCAACTCGATAAGTGCCATAGTCGGCTGGAATTCCAAAAGAAGAGATGAGGAACACAGACATAACAAGTAGAAGATATCCAGCAGAGATAAACTTGTCTTGCCGACAGGAGGAGTTGTAGATGTATAGGCAGCCAAGGGCAAGGTAGGCTATTAACTGAATCACCAGCGATGCAACGGCATAGAGGTGAACACGCGATGAAGATAAATGTAGGCATACATGATCACGGAGAAAAGGGTAGTTGTCCATGCATTGCAACATCGTTGAGAAGGATCGACAAGAGGGCTGGAGTCTTCTACGTCCGGCATGTTTATTGTACCTAGCTACTACACACTTCACGCAGGTTGGAACTTGGAAAGTTGGAAGTGAAGAGAAAGCGCTGCAGAGATGAAAATTCGGGACGATAGAAGAGTCTACAAAGGGTTGTTGAGAAGAAAAAGCCGCGTGAACTACAAAACAAGGTCAGACCTTCGGGCGCATTGCCTCGTAATCGTGCTCAGCCTGGCGAAGGTCAGACCTTCGGGCGCATCGTCTTCGGCCGGCCCAAGTCGGTGGTGGTGGAGAAAGACCAGCTGGAGATATTCTGGCATATTTGTAGTAGGTGGAAGACATTCTTGTATAATAAGATATGTGGAACCATACCCTATAAAGGGGACATTCTTCCACTGTCCTTTTGCTTTGGCTTGCTGGAATACTTTGGGGATGGCCAATCTTGTGCAGTCTGATTTATTTCAGATCCTTACAGCTTTCAGAGATCACCTTCAGAGGCCTTTTTGTTAGGTTTGGTTCGTTACAGATCGGGATGTCTTGTATAGAAATAGAATAGGTGTTCGGGATTTACATGAGAGGCAGAGAGAAGGGGAGTGAGATGTAGCAAACCATCGAAAGCCGTACTGGTCGAAGCTCCGGCCGGGGTCTCGTTGACGGACGCCATCTGCGCGCCGGCAGCGACGTTCGGTGGAGAGGGAGGAGTCGGCGCTGTGGCGTCCTCGGTGGCGGCGTGTGCGTCGAGGCGTCGAGGTGGCGTTGCCGGCGTCGGTGGTGCTTCCCGTCGCTGGCAGCGCCCCTTCTCAAGATCGGGTTTTAGGGTTAGGATGTCGGTGGGGTGACTGGCGGCGCGGTGAACCTCGTACTGCGAGCCCCGGCCCCCACCTTTCCTTTATAGCGCTGTGCGACGGGGGCCCACCAACCATGTAGGGTTGGGCGCCCCCGATCAGGGCGCGAGGACAAGGCCCAGTTAGGCCGTTGGGCCTAACTGGTGGGAGATCAATCCTAACATTCTCCCCCTTGATCTCTCATCTATTCTTCGTTCTTTAATTTCATATTCAAAACTTTCAATTCATATTTTTCTTGCTTCCATCCTATTTCATCACAGATTAGTGCATAGAACTGTCCCATCGTCACAGCAATTAGTGCCGTTAGACTAACAGCCACAATACACTTCTCCGTTTTGAAATGTAAACTTTCTTTGGGCCCTTCGTATGTTCGGGAATCATAGGCTTTCCCTTAAACCCATGCCGGCTACGTGTTCTCTGAACACGTTGGGTGGTAAGCCCTTTGTGAGCGGATCCGCGAGCATTTTCTCTGTACTTATATGCTCAAGATTTATTATATGATCCCGAAGTTTATCTTTCACAACATAGTACTTTATGTCAATGTGTTTGGCAGCACCACTTGACCTATTGTTGTGAGCATATTGTACCGCTGGGTTGTTATCACAATACAACCTCAGTGGTTCTTTTATATTATCAATCACTTTCAATCCGGGTATGAATTTCTTCAGCCAATTCACCTGCCCCGTTGCCTCATAGCATGCTACAAACTCGGCATACATTGTCGAGGATGTAGTTACGATTTGTTTGGAGCTTTTCCACGATATAGCCCCTCCTGCGAGAGTAAATACATATCCCCGACGGATTTTCTTTCATCTCCGCATAATCGAATCTGAATACCCCTCTATCTGCGGGTATCGGATCTTCTATACGTAAACATGAGGCCTTTCGTACCACTGCAAATAACGCAGGACTTTCTTCACTAATTTCCAATGTTCAATTCCTGGATTCTTTTGATATCTGTCAAGTAACCCGGTAACAAAAGCTAAGTCAGGGCGTGTACACACTTGAGCATATTGTAAACTTTCAACAGCTGAAGCATACGGTACCGCTTTCATTCGGTCAATTTCATATTGGTTCTTGGGACACTGATGTTCCCCAAATCTATCGCCCTTGACTATAGGAGCAGGTGAAGGACTGCACGCATGCATACTAAATTTCTTCAGGACCTTTTCTATGTATGCCTTTTGCGATAATCCTAGAACCCCTTTTCTCCTGTCTCGGTGAATCTCTATTCCCAAAACGAACGAGGCCTCACCGAGATCTTTCATATCAAAGTTTGAGGACAAGAATTTCTTTGTTTCCATTAGTAAATTGATATCACTGCTAGCAAGCAAGATATCATCCACATACAAAATTAGGAATATGTACTTTCCATTCCTGAACTTTGTATAAACGCAATTGTCCTCAACATTTTCTTCAAACCCAAAACCTTTTATCGTTCTATCAAACTTCAAATACCACTGTCTTGAAGCTTGCTTCAATCCGTAGATTGATTTCTTCAGGCGGCATCCCATATTTTCCTTTCCTTTTACGACAAAACCTTTCGGTTGTGCCATATAAACATTTTCTTCCAAATCCCCATTTAGGAAAGCCGTCTTTACATCCATTTGATGCAACTCCAAATCATAGTGGGCTACAAGTGCCATTATAATTCTGAAGGAATCTTTACATGAGACTGGAGAAAACGTCTCATTGTAATCAATCCCTTCTCTTTGCGTGAAGCCTTTCGCCACAAGTCGCGCTTTAAATCTTTCTATATTCCCTTGGGAGTCATATTTCGTTTTGTAGACCCATTTACAGCCTACTGTTTTGGCTCATTTAGGAATATTTTCTAAGTCCCAAACTTTATTGGTACTCATTGATTTCAATTCATCTTCCATGGCCTTAAGCCACTTTGATGAGTGGTTGCTTCTCATGGCTTCTTCAAATGAGGTGGGATCATCCCCCATCTGACATTCTTCTGTTTCATAAACTTCATAGTCATCAGTAATAGCTGATCTTCTTATTCTTTGAGACCTTCTAGGTGCCTCCGGCACTTGTTCCACATTTGGCTGTTGTTGTTCTTCCTCATGTGCAACATTTGGTTCTATAGGTTCCTCAAGGATAGGTTCCTCAAGGACAGGTTCCTCATGTTCATTCATTGTCGCCACGGGAGAACTTGCAACAGGTGTTGGCACTGCAGTGTCCTGCACTGTCGGTGCAACAGCAGCAGGTAGCGTGAAGAATGGTTCTTCAACCATCGGAGTGGGTACATGTACCCGCTTCTCCTGTAGGCTGATTTCTCGTGCTACCATGCTCCCCCTGATCATGTTGTCCTCCAAGAACACAGCGTGTCTTGTTTCTATAATCTTCGTATGTCTGTCAGGACAATAGAAGCGATATCCCTTCGATCTTTCTGGATAGCCAATAAAATGGCAGCTGACTGTCTTGGAGTCTAACTTTCCTATGTTTGGGTTAAACACTTTTGCCTCAGCTGGACAGCTCCACACACGCAAATGGTTAAGTGAGGGTTCCCTTCCTGTCCATAATTCATACGGT